GGGTTGATGAATATTTAATGGCAACTCCTACACTTCCCATGCTGCATGCCGGAATATGTTTGGAAATGTTTGTGCAAAGTTTCCTTGGGGACTGCTGCGGTTCCCATGCTGCGCACTTTATTTTATTTGTGGAGGATTTTGCGCATAGTCTTGTTGCATTTGTTGTTTTCCATGCCGTACGTCGGTTCCGATGCTGTATGGATAATAAACGGATAAGTTGTAAAAAATACGTTGATAACACATGGAAAATGAGTGGATGATAAATGGATAATATAAAGAAAATACGTGGACACTAAATTGATAACATCTACATATTTGATTTAATTTGGAAAATATTTGGCGAGTAAACCGGAAATAAATGGAAACTCAGGAAATGAACGGATTATAAATGGATACTCAATTAAAAAATATTAAATGGATTTCGTATTGCCTGTTTCTACTTCAAACAGATTGGACAAGGAATTTTGTATGGCCTATCTTTCTACTTTGCTTTTGGTCCTAGATACTGGCCTTATGTTGAGTCTATACTGAAAAATGCTGCCCTTGCTTTTGGTCCCAGACGCTGGCCTTTTGTTGGAGGAGGGATTTCGCATTGCCTTTTTTCAACTTTAAACATCTTGGAGGAGGGATTTCCGATGGATCGCACATGGATGAACAATTGGTAAAAAAGGGATAGTATTCTTATATGGATAAAGCATGGATGGTACATGGATAATGCATAAAGCCAAATGGATAATAGCTGGATATAATGGCTGAACAATGGATAATATTTGGACATTTGGACGGAAATGTGAAACTTTATGGAAGGAAAACTGATAATATATGGAAGCAATAAAAAAAAAATATTGGACGATATATGAATGGCATATGGATGAAACAATGACGACAGAATGGAAAATACATGGAAAATAAATTGCTAGTACATCGATAACAAACGGACGAGCACAAGACAATATGTGGTGATATATGGGTAGTAAATGGATAATTAATGGATGATAGATTGATAATAGCTAAATCCAATGCATGATTAATGCCAAATACATGAATAAACAATTGACAACAAATGGATAAACAATGATTAAACGGATAATAAATGGACAATGAATGGATACTATAAATGGATAAAACATGGATAACTTATGGATAACACGTTGATCGCAAATGGATATTGAATGGGATGGACGCTAAATTAAGAATAATAGATGGATAAAATATGGATGGTATGGATTGCTAAAACATGGTATTCAAACGCAATGGGCCTGGCCAGAAAAGTTTGCTCAAAATTGGCCCAAGGATTGCGTCTAGACTAAAACAAATATTAAAATAAAATGGGCAAAAACGTTACGATCTAGCTTCAATCTCCATAATTTGTGAATTCCAATTGTGCAGGAATGACATGTAGACTGAAAGGACTATTCAAATATACAAATTGCTGGCCGAACAAATTCCGCTCAAAATCGCTCAAAATCGCTCAAAATTGCTCAAAATTGCTCAAAATTGCTCAAAATCAACTCAAAATGTCTCAAAATGTCTCATACCTGCCCCAAAAATCCGCTCAAAATTGCTCAAAACTCAAAATGTCTCAAAATGTCTCAAAATGAGTTTTGAGAAAAATTGAGTTGATTTTGAGACATTTTGAGACATATTGGGACAGATTGAGACATTTTGAAGCAAACTGGTAGTTGCTGACAGTGCCAAAGGCATGAAAAAATGTAACGCTGTTGCAAACTTTTTGAAACCGAAAGCAAACAGATGTGAATATTTACAAAAAAATTGATGAAATGGTGCTTTTGCTTATAGTACCGCAGCATGAATACTTACAGAAAAGTTTGATGAAACACTGTTTTTGCTTATAGTACCGCAGCGTGAATGCTTACAGGAAAGTTTCATGAAACACTGTTTTTGCTCATAGTACCGTAGCGTGAATACTTACAGAATTTTTTTTCCCGCGCTGCGCGCGGAATTTTCTTGAACCTTAAGCTTGAAGGTTGCAACCTGGAAAACGTTTGGAAAATAAAAAAGGAGTAAGCCGGAAAAAATATTACGCGCTGCGCGTGGGAAACAAATATATACGAAACTTTACGTAACCTGCCACTAAATTTTGCACATAGCGGCGACCACGGGTGGATCTATCAACTGGGCTGCAAAAGATAATGCGTTATGGAAATATAACGTAAAAGGAGTATCTATGGAATTAACTTACCACCATAACCCCACAATAACCTGCCTTCTAACAATGAGTTTCAAGAGGTTGTAGCGGGGTCGGAGAAGGAAGGAAAGACAAGGAGGTGGAGAGTGACTGTGTGTGTGCCGTGCAAAAGATAGTATGCATGTTATCTTGTATATTAGTATGTATGCTACGTATTTGTGTCCTAGTACATTATAGATGTTTAGTATGAAAAATGGTATGTGTATGTTTGACAAAGTTGCACTCCTGTGCTGTTTCTTCCACTGTAGTGACTTGTCACTGAAGGCCAGAAAAGAAACAAGATATGCTTACCACGGAAATTCTTTGTGGGATCCAAGGGTGTGTGCTGAACACTAGGTCTCACGACGTGTCTCACTCGCCTTCTTCGAGTTCCACCAGGCTCTGATGGTTTTTTCCCCGACGTTGCTTCCCGACAGAGCTTTTATGGCAGAGCCCTCTATCAAAGCGATGGTGTGCTCTCCATACTTCCGCTGACCAAAGTAATGTTCTGCACTCTTTCGGGCGAAGCCGCAAATTTTGCGAACTCTTTCTGCATGCCCTGTGGCTGGTAATCATACCTGGTAAATAGTCATGATCAACTGCTGGCGTCATGGACGTGAGATTGTGCCCACCGCGTGCCACGTGAAATCAAGGTGTATGTCACCAAGTGCCATCAGTGAGCCGCCTGCCACGCAAAACGACCTTGCATGTAATCAAGGTGGACGTCACCAAGTGCCACGCCTGCCACGCAAAGTGCCGCGGCGTCACAGGCGACAAATCCGGACCAAGCGCGCCACCCAGTACCATGAGTGCCACGCCTGCCACGCAAAACGACGGTGGATGCGAGTTTTGTGCCACGCGTGCCACGTGAAACGAGGATGGATGTCACCAAGTGCCACGCCTGCCACGCAAAGTGCCGCGACAAATCCGGACCAAGCGCGCCACCCAGTACCATGAGTGCCACGCCTGCCACGCAAAACGACGGTGGATGCGAGTTTTGTGCCACGCCTGCCACGTGAAATGAAGGTGGATGTCACCAAGTGCCACCCTCTCCTGCCACGCAAAGTGCCGCGCGTCAACAGGCGACAAAATCCGGACCAAGCTCGCCCCACCAGTGACCATGAGTGCTCACGCCCGGCCACGCCAAAATTACGGTGGATGCGAGTTTTGTGCCACGCCCTGCCCCGTAACGAGGTGGGATGTCACCAAGTGCCACGCCTGCCACGCCAAAGTGGCCGCTGCGTCACAAGGCGACAAATCCGGACCAAGCGGCGCCACCCAGTACCATAGTGCCACGCTGCCACTCAAAACTACGGTGGATTCGAGTTTTTTGTGCCACGCATGCCACGTGAAACGAAGGTGGAAAAATGTCACCGAAGTTCCACGCCTGCACGCAAAAGTGCCTCGTCGTCACCGGCGACAAATCCGACGCAATCGCGCCACCCAGGACCATGAGTGCCAGCCTGCCACGCAAAATGACACAGTTGGGAATGCGAGTTTTGTGCCGACGCCTGCCACGTGAAACGAGGTGTGGATTTCCACCACGTGCCACGCCTGCCACACGCAAAGTGCCGCGGCGTCACGCGACAAATCCGAACGCACGCGCGCCACCCAGTAACCATTAGGCCACTCCTTCCACGCAAAACGACGTGGATGCTAGTGTGTGCCACGCCTGCCCACGTGCAACGAAGGTGGACGTCACCAAGTGCCACGCCTGCCACGCAAAGTGCCGCGGCGTCACAGGCGACAAATCCGGACCAAGCGCGCCACCCAGTACCATGAGTGCCACGCCTGCCACGCAAAACGACGGTGGATGCGAGTTTTGTGCCACGCGTGCCACGTGAAACGAGGATGGATGTCACCAAGTGCCACGCCTGCCACGCAAAGTGCCGCGACAAATCCGGACCAAGCGCGCCACCCAGTACCATGAGTGCCACGCCTGCCACGCAAAACGACGGTGGATGCGAGTTTTGTGCCACGCCTGCCACGTGAAATGAAGGTGGATGTCACCAAGTGCCACGCCTGCCCGCGGCGTCACAGGCAACAAATCCGGACCAAGCGCGCCACCCAGTACCATGAGTGCCACGCCTGCCACGCAAAACGACGCTGGATGCGAGTTTGTGCCAAAACGACGGTGGATGCGAGTTTTGTGCCACGCCTGCCACGTGAAACGAAGGTGGATGTCACCAAGTGCCACGCCTGCCACGCAAAGCGCCGCGGCGTCACAGGTGACAAATCCGGACCAAGCGCGCCACCCAGTACCATGAGTGCCACGCCTGCCAAGCAAAACGACGTGTTAGCATCGTGAGCAGGTAAACGTTCAATCAACGTTTTACCATATTTTAGATTTTATCTGTTTGAAAATATTTTGTCTTTTTTTAATATTTTGTAAAAAAATATGAAACCACATTTGTTTGCACAACGTTCTGGACAACAAATTAGTCTACCAAATTTCAGATTAGCCTACCTAAATTTCAGAAATGCCTATGTCATTTTCAAATCACCTAGGCATTTCTGGGATCAGGTAGGCATTTCTGAAAGTCATGAAGGGCAAACCCCTACAAACTAATACCTTACGATCTGGGATGCATTCTTAAGTTTGTGAATTTCATTTGCCGTGCCCAAGTGCAAAAAGGATTCGCCGTAGGCCGTGTGTGGGGCTGAATTTAATATCAGGTCAGCCGTCAGAGAGAGGTTCCAAGTGATGGAAGCCAGCTGTTTGCGACAATGATTCTTCATTGAAAATTGCCCTTTTGAAACTCAAAAAATCAACTTGGCAAAAAAAGACGAGCATGGCATTTTACCGTCGAGGATGGTAAAATACCGACGAAGGTGGCTACAGAAGGCGACCTTGCTTTTCGCAGACGACGGATGGTCAGGGGCAGGCTTGTTGTGCTTCGTGGCGGCGGGAGTGGTGTCATCAGACAAGGTGTACCACATCGTGGAGACGCCGGGAGCACTCGACTTGTTGGCGGAGGAGGGCCCCACCGACAAGTACTACCAAAGGCTCAGGGCAGATCTGAGTGAGAGATATCCAGCAGCCTCAGAGCATTTGTTGGATCACCTTGAAGCTCTTGAAGCGTTTTTGGATAAGAGCATCATGGCAGGAGTCACGTTCGGGATCGACAAGGCCAAGATAGGAGTGATCGAAGGGGAGCTCCTGGGCCACTGTGTCGGAAGATTCGGAGCAAGGTGCAGCCAAGAGAAGACAAAGGCTGTTCAAGACTTTCCTGCCTTACGCGAAAAGTTGCACATTCAACAGTTCTTGGGTTGTACGAATTTCCTCCGGAATTACTTGCCTCCGGAGTATGCGCATTGCGCTAAGCTCTTGGGAGAGCACATGAAGGGAGCAGTTCCTTTCCCGGAGAGTGGTCTCGGAGAAGGAGACACCTCAGGGGACAAGGCTGTTCGAGCGATCAAGCTCATGACGCAAAGAGCAATTGAGCTGGCCGTGTTGGATGAAGCGGGAGCGATCACTGGCGAAAGGCCCTTGGAGCAGATAGCAGATAGCTCGGGGTATGCAGTGGGAGGCTCCGCTCTCCAGATGCAGGCGGACTTGGGATCCTTTAAAGTCTCGGCCGTCCATAGCAAGGGCTTAACTCCAGCTCAACAGGCATGGGCGCCATTGTCCCTCGAAGGGTATGCGCAACTGGAAGTTCGGCGGGCTGTGAAGAAGCAGCTCGGTCCGATCAAGCCGATTTGCTGGACGGATCACGCAAACTGGACGCGCCAACAAACGTTGGAGCAAGTCGAACCGAAGCATCTGCGGTGGCTTAGCGAAATCCTCGCAGATGGGTCCGAATTGAGAAGCCTAGCCGGCAGGAGCGCCAGGCTTGGGGATGGATACTCAAGAAATCCTCCTGAACGGGATCAGCTGTTGGAACAGAGAACGAAAGACCTAGAAGGGTTGATCGGTCAGCTGAGGGGATTCTCGTTGGAAGAGTACCTCTCGGACGTTTCGGAGAAAGTAGCGCTGCCCTGGTCCGTCGGCGACGGGGTGTTGCCAGATCCTGAACAGGGAAGGAGTGCCGGGAATGATCAAGTTGCGGCTGTAGCAGGGGAGCTGGGAGTCTTGAACCGGTCCTTGCGGAACAACATGTTCGCAGCCGGCGTGAGCAGTGAGATCCGCGTGCTCTACGTTCCCGTATACGTGGCTAGGAACGATCGGTGGATTCAAACGCAAGGAGCTCAGCAAGCTCTTTAGGACGATCTTTCCCGAAGCCGAAGTCAAAGTGGCTCTAGCTGAGCCGCCGTTCGAGGATCCTGAAGGAAATGCCTTACACTTCGAAAGGCAAGGCAAACAGCACCTGACTGGAAAAAGGTTAGTGAATGCCACGCAGGTCGACTTGTTGACATCATGGCCATGCTGCTTCGGGAGATCGCAAAGCACATGCCGAACTTCGTGGTCGGTGCCGGTCAAGGAGCGATAGTGTGCTTGGCGGCAGCTTCGCCAGTAGTGGTGGAGTCGGTGTTGCTGGCCAGAAACGTGCATATCACAGAGGCACACAAGGTAGCGAGTGCCTGGGCACAGGTGAAGCTGATGTTTGGGGCCAACCCGAGGATCGGAAAATCGAAACCAGGGGGGCAGCTGCTGAAAGAGGCGTGCCCGGAATGGTTCACTCCGCACGTCCTGGAGTGCTTGCCCAGGCTCGGCATGGTAGAAAAATACGTGCCAGTAAGAGAAGAGATTGAAGAATTGCTGAGTTGCGCAGGAGTTATGCAGGTGAACAGTTTGGAGTCCGTGATGTGGAGCTCCTGGCTGGAAAGAGACAGCAAGGAACTGTGGGAGCACGAAGGACAGTGCGCCTGCGGTCGGAGGACGCGGCTTTTCGGTCAGTGCATGCGGTGCATAGAAGCAGAGCATGCTGAGGAATTCCAACGAAGAGCAGACCAAGGAGCTGAGGAAGAAGATCAGAATGTGGAAAGGCGGTTTGAATTGGAAGGAGGGCCAGATGTAACGGCAAAGATCGAACCGCTTATTGAAAGGGATCCTGTTACCGGGCGTGAAGAACTCAGCGGAACTGCAGAGAAATGGTTAGATGAACACCTCAAGAGAAGGAAAGAAAAAGTTGAGGAGCTGAAAGAAGAACCAGAGCTCGCGGTTGGAGCAGACCTGCGGAGCGACTGGTTCAAGTCACAGAGAAGCGACGACAAGTTGATGTCAGTAATCCAAAAATGCCTGAAGAGAACGGAGGAGACAAACAAGTTCCGGCTGGCAGAAGATGGATTACTAGAAAGACTGCTGGAACGAGATGGGCAGAACGGAGAGCTCTGGGTACTGGTGGTACCAGATGGGAAAGCCCATTCGATGATGAGCTGGAAGGAGTTTTGTTGTCGTCAGGTCCACACCGGGATCATGGGAGCTCACAGGAGCGGAGCGAAAATGCTCGCCATTCTTCGAAAGGCATGTTGGTGGGATGATATGGAAAGCGACCTTGAGAAGTATACATGCGGACCGCTGTTTGGTGTGCATTAGAAACAGGAGGAGGCCCGTGAAACAGCTAGCGGTTCCAGTCAAGCCGTCATGGCTAGAGTGCTGGGAAGAAATCGCAGTCGACTTTGAGGGGCCGATGCACCCAGAAGATCATCAAGGGAACAGGTTCATCCTCACGTACATGTGTTGCGTGTCCGGAGGGATTATGCTGGAACCATGCAAGGCTCTGTCTCAAGTAGAAGTTAGAAGAGCCTTCGCAAAGCTGATGTTCCGGAGTCGGACGCTCCCAAAGATGATGCGGTCTGACCGAGGACAGGAGTTCCGAAGTACGCTGCTGAAAGAATACTGCGCACTTCTCGGTGTGCGTCAAAAATTCAGCGGACCTCTTCGTCCGTGTGAGATGGGAAGGACGGAAAGGATCCACCAGGAGATGCAAAAGGTCCTGGGATTACTGGTACACGACGTGTGCAGATCCAGGCCGCATGAGTGGATGGAACTTTTGGGAGTCGTGGAATACATCCTGGACACGACGCCTGGTCCATCAGGGTTTGCACCGCGCGACTTTGAAAGAGGTTGGAGTCTGGCGAGCCCATTGGAAAGAGAATTGATTGGAAGGGAGACGTTGGAATTTGAGCCAGTTGAAGAGGCTACCAAAAAGCTCTTCAAAGCTTACAGAGAAATCCGAGTCAAGGTGCTGGGTTGGCAAGCAGCTAGCGCTGCACAAAGAGCGGATCGAGCCAACAGGTTCCGAAAAGTCAAGGTGGTTGAGATCGGCGATCTGGTGGTCTACAGGGACCCCAGACTCCGATCTGGGTGCGGACACCCTGGAGGAAGCAACTTTCCGAACCTATGCGCATCATGGCCAAACAAGGAAACCGTGTGGAGTTAGAACCGGTGGTTGCGGACCCAACCCAGGGTCGCCCACGCACGTTGAAGGACGTGCACGTAGAGGACCTTCTGTTGGTTCCTCCAGATGCGGCTGCAACAACTCCGATCCGCCCAGCGCACGTGGAATTGCCATCGCCAGTCGGGCAGGATGACCCAGGCTCGGTTCGTTCGCCTGGTTTGATGGTCGAGCAGCGAGAAGATCCCGACGCAGGAGCCGCAGGCGTAGTGCCGGAGCGGGCAAACAGGAGAACAAAGAAGGGCAGACTAGCCAGCCTGAGAATCGGGAGCTATGTGGCCTATGCCATCGAAAGCATCAAGGCCAATGTGCCGGCCAACAAACACTTGAAGAGATGCCGAGTCGGCAAGATCCTGCAAATCCGACCTATGGAACAAGTGCTCCTGGTGCACCGATATACTCCTATCGCGGACGGAAGACTGAGGGTCCGTTGGAAGGAGATGTATCTGTCAGAAGCTACGAAGGAAGAAACTCTGATCCCGAGCTCCCATCCAGTCCAAGAAGAGGTGCCGCTGCAGCGGATTATCACCGAGATCCACCTGAACAGTGAAGTTATGAGTCATGCGGCAGCGCGGCAGATAGATGCCAGCGGCTATCGAGTGGATGAGAGGCGGTCAGAGGCCTTGCAAAGGGAAGTAGATGCAGACAGACGGATCGAGATAGCGGATGTCGGGGCAGTGCAGGAAATGGTGGCCATGATGACAGAGTCACCAGCGCACGTCGCAGACAGACCAGGAGACCATTCGAAGGTTTTCGTGGATCGGTCCCAAGTGGCTTTGCCTGATGATCTAGAAGCCAAGCTGAAAGAAACACACAGGAAAGCCGAGGCGAAGTGGGATGCATTATCCTTGGCCAAGGATTGGGACCAAGTCTGTTCGGATTTGTCATCGTTCAGGTTCAGTGGGGAAAAATTGGCGGCCGACCCGAGGCGCAATTCTGAATACAAAGAAAAGGTCGTCTCCGGACTCGGATTCTCCGACGCGGATCGAGAGAAGAAGACTTGGCTTAACCGTGAGGAGTTTTCAGCGTGCCAGGAGGTACTGAGAAGGAAGGCCGCCGGCTTCTGGGTGCCGGGAACTCCGCGGACAACTATCCGTCATGTTCAGCATGACACGACTCCGACAGGACCACCGGTCAAGACACCTCCACACCGGCTGGCTCCAGAAGCAGCGGAGTGGATTGATCAAAAGATTGAAGAAGAAGTGGCGAGAGGACAGTTGGTCCGGGGCAACTCACCATGGGGGAGCCCGCCATTTCCTACGAAAGCGGTCGAAGCAGCTCATAAAAGAGCACGGAAACGACGCATCGTAGTGGATTACCGGAGGGTAAATGCCAGGGTCTTAAGGAACTCATACTACTCAAGGAAGTCGTCGGAAGTCATAGCTGAGGCCTCAGGCTCAGCCTACCTGACCCTTCTTGATGCGGTGACTGGATTCAATCAGGTGGAGAACACGGAGCGGGCCAAGCAAGTGTTGGCGCTGGTCTCCAGAGGAGGGCAATTCCTTCCGACTTGCCTTACGTTCGGATCACAGAATGGTCCAGAGGACTTCGCCTTCGTGGTAGATCGAATCTACGCACCGGGGCGGCACAGGAGACTACGGCTGATGAAGGAATGGCTTCCCTACGTCGATGACCTGACCATCAGGACCGGAAGAGTTCTTGATGGCGTGATCTACAAGGACTCGGAGGTCACGGCTCGAGTCAGAGAAGCCGTGAGTGTTGCGAATGTTAGCGAGCAAGACATCGGAGAGGCGCTCAAGGCCTGCGGTTTCTCGAGCAAAGGCTTGAGCAAAGAGAAATCCAAGACGGAGCCTGACAGGGACCAACGTCCTGAGCTCCGGTCAGAAGAAAAAGTCGCAGCTGTTCGCGCTGAAGGGGTCGGTAGGAGAGTCCCTCCTAGGTTAAGTAAAGGCAAGGTAACAGGTGTAATGGGTAAAGAAAAGGAAGACCCCCTGGAAACCCCCTTTCTAGGATCCCTGAGAACTCCCGAGGCTCTAGAGGTGTGTCTTGCTGCTGCCTCTGCCTGTTGGGAGGTTCAAGGTAGGAATGGACCCTTACATGACCGCAGCCGTTTGAGTGTTCGAGCCGACGCGCCGGAGCGGGGTTTTGGCCCTGCCCGTGGCGTGGGGAATTGGAGCGGACCAAGGTCGCCCAGGAAAGCAAGTACTGGGAGTGAAGACGGTGAAAGCGAGGAGTGCGGGCGTCAGCCGCCTCCTACCAAGAAGATGGCCGGAGAGGTCAAGGAGAAAGAAGAAGAACCCAGCGCGGAGACGGTGAGGCTGTCGCACCGGCTCACCGCTCTTCTGCGGCATGGGAAAGTCCACGGTAAGCGCATGGCCGTGAAAGTGTTAGTGGAATGCTTCGATTCCAAAGGATGGGTACGGGCGAGCCGTGTAGTGGAATGGCTCCGCCTCCCGCAGCAAGGAGTCGTAGAGACCCTCCAAGCAGCAGTGGACTGCAGTGGTGCCAGGCTGGAAACGGGAAGGACACAAGCGGGAGCCTTTATGCTCCGCGCCCGTCACAGCTGGTCAATGGACCATGTCTTTGATGGCCTGGCAGAAGCGGCAGAACAGGACGAACCTATCCAGTTGTTCCATGGCACGACCTGGAAAGCTTGGGCAGGTATCGGTCGCAGCTGCCTAAAGAGCGAGCAGCAACTTAAGGGAGGGACAGGAAGAATCCACGTACACCTGGCCAGGACGCCTTTCTCAGTAAGGCCGGGGAGTGAAGTGATCATATGCATCAACACCCAGACCTTGTTCAAGCTCGCCAAAGGGTACAGGATGCCGGTACTGGCAAACGAGAAGGCCGTCTACATCGGCTTCCCGCTGCCCCTGGACAGCTTCGCCACGGTGTGCGTCGCGTCCGAAGAGGGCAGCGGGCTAGGTGCTGAGTTGGCGGGCATCAGAGTCCCCAGAGATCGATGGGTGTTGGATAAGAAGGCTCTGGAGACCGGTGAGCCGGAAGAGGCTCTCGAGCCAAAGGAAACGACCAAAGGAGAGGCCAGCGGTTCCAAGAGTCGTTCCGAGGACGCGGCCGGAGCAGCGGAAGCTGCGAGTTCAAAGGGTGAGACCAAGGTTGCAGACAAGAGTGATGTCAGCCAAGATAAGCGACCGCCGGAAGCAGCGATCCAGGAGGAACCAGCGGTGGCCGTAAAGACGGAAGCTGTGGAGTCGGACAGGAGTGCGGTCTCTGACGCACCTCGTAGGGCGGAAGAAGTTAAGCCTGCGGTGACCAAGCCCGGGCAGGCCGACGCAGTCGGCAAAGCGGCTCCGGAAGGACCAAAAGACGCAGGCGCGAAGGCAGCCACTGAAGAGCCAGCTGCTGACAAGTCAGATTCCACGTCGAGCGACGGTGAGAGCAGCTCGAGCACGGAGCCGAAGGAAGCGGTTCCAAAAGCCGCTCCTGCGGACCGAGCGAAGGTCGCGGAACGAGACCCGGCGGACCGAGGAAGGGTCGCCGAACGAGATCCCGCGGACCGGCAGGTGACTACAAAAATGGCGGAAGTCGCTGAACGAAAAGAGGAAGCGCGCTCGACGAGGAATGTGAAAAGAGCCGCTAGCCCACGAAGAAGTCCCGTGAGCCGTGGACGAGAACAAGTTAGGACAAGGTCAGGCCGCAGTAAGATGGTCCGAGAAGCCAGCTCTGGACGGGCCACCTTGGACGCCAAGGAAGCGGGGTGGGCCCGAGCTCGAGAGGTTCGCCGGAACTCCGAGTCAGAAGATGAGTATCCTAGACAATCGTTTCGACCAGATGATGTTGTACATGGGTTGTTTGGCCATTTGTACCTGAAAAGGTTGTGGGCCCAAATGAGCGTGAAAAATCGTGAAAAGCTAGAAATACAAGAATTAAGCCTTTCTTGCCTGGCTTTGCCAGAGCAGATGAGGAAATAATCAGCACATAGAAAGGCTATATGCTTTCGAACGGAAGTTTATAACATATAGAGCTAGTTTGGCTTTTGCAAGGTTTATATAATTTAGGTCTAACCCAGAAAAATTCGTTCCTTGCCAATATCATGTGGTATATCAATCAGTTTTACCCCAGAATTTTATTTATTGCTCAGTTATATTTCTTGATTCAACACATGGGGGCAATAATATATATATATATTTATTTATTTATTGGGGCTTACTATATATAGGTAACACTAAAATAAGAAGGGAAGCATTGGGATCAAACTGCCTTAATCTGCCTTACATAAGGCAATTATCGTGGTATTTGCAAATATTTTGGTGATTTTCTTACATTCATATCCCTTAAAAAAATTTAAGGTTCCATCCCAATTTAAGGCTCTCCAAGGTCCATTCGATCCACTTGCTGCGCCTTGCCTTTTTTCACGTTCAGCATTCTCCAGGTAGCGAGTTAACTATCTATAGGTATGCTCCAATATCCCTATATGACCACAAATCATTTCATTCCTAGCTTGGAATCCCATCATATCGGAGCATGCCTTGATGTGACACGTCAGTGCAAAATGCAGGTGCAAAGTGAGTGTTGGAATATTTTAGATATGTGTTATGTTTCGGACATTGCTGTGTCGATGCCCATGGCCTTCGTGCGCCATTGATTGCCTATGAAGGCGCCAGCTGCTTATATGGGCCATTGCATCGAGCATTTTTTCAGTGCAACTTCGTTGATGCAAGTCCTTCCAAGAAACCAATATATATATATATAGCATTGTTTGACAGTAAAAATTCAATTCTGGGTTAATACATGGAGAAATAAAGGGATTTTAGGACACTGCATTAGGACACTTTGCATCTCGCAGCCTTAAGCGCATCACCGCGCATGGCCCATAGCCAGCCACCTCGATCGCGCGATGGCATCAGGGGCTTATGAGGAGGTGGAGGTGGAGGAAGAAAGCCCTGAGGATTCTTGGTCGTCTGTTACTTGGCTGTCATTCTATATAGATGATTTCTTTGTTACCAGAGTCATGTAGACAGTGATGTGTGTGAAGCTTTCTAATTTCAATTTACTATGGACAGATTTGAAATTTGTTCTTCAGATGTGCATATGTATATAGCTTGAAAATTATAAATGTTTACTGGTTGGTCAGTCCCAAAAATGAAGAAACACTGAAGGAATACCTGTTTTGCTTATTGGTCATGTTGCAAAATCTTCTGTTTCCATCCTTGTCTCAATATATTATCTGCCGGTCCCTGCCCAGGATACCCATATTGTGGTGGAGCCTGCTGCTTCTGCAATGCGTCCAGATCCTTGTCCACCTAGGGCGAAACCAAGTGGGCCCATATCAAAGCTGCCGCAGGGTTTGAGGCAGGGAGTGCCCGCGGAACCTTGAATCAATTTAAGGCATTCATGTCGAATATTGGTTGGTTTTCACATCGATGCACATGTAAATCAATATATATATATATATGTATATGTATATGTATATGTATGTATATATATATATATATCAATATCGATCAGTCATCCCTCGCTGCATAAGGTTTCTCAAGAATGAACATCTTTTTTGGGGTTGTGGCATTAATCCAAGGTGGTGCCATCGACTATCATGATAGCGACGCCCAGAGAGCCCCGGAAGATCGGCAACGTGCAGATTCCAGAAGCCTATCGCTTCACCTTTCATGGCAAGTCTTTGCCTTGTCATGGTGGCCGTTGCTTGGCTACTACTTCACAATTTTGATCACATGTTCAGGCAACCTTGTTAAAAACTCTCAGCTGTAGAAATATTAGAACCCATACAAAGATTGATAAATAGGGGTATATAGATGTTTATATGTAAATCAGTATATATATATATATATGCATATATATCTATATATATGCATAAATATGTATATATATGCATATATATATATATATTTATTTATTTATTTTGTTTTATTTACACACACTCCACATGCTGAAGGAAAGGATGGTCGCACTCCTGAACTTGATCTGGGACCGCCACTGCAAGAGGATGGGTTTCCTCTCCCAGGGGAAGACGAACTTGGCAATGCGCTTGCTGATGGAGGCTTGGCTCAATATGGAGCCAGTGTGTCATCTAAAAATTGCATTTGACACACACACACACGCACACACATATATGTCTATGAGTGCATGTTTTTACTGAAAATAGATCTAAATATAATATATATACATATTTATTTATTTGTTTGCCGTACGCACGGAAATATTAATTCCCTTGATGCACATCTGAGATGCCGATCAATCCCCAGCTGGGTCCATGACGGATGCAGAGCGGCTTCAAATCTCGAATGGTCCCTGGGAAGCATTTGTTTGTAGAAAAACATATGTACAGATGCAGTTCGGTGATATATCTGTGCTTTCTGCGTGTTTTTAAAGCATTGCTTATAGTTGTATATAGCTTTTTTTTTAAATGAGTTGATATATAGATGATAAATATTCAATCCAAATCAGGACTTAATTCATTGACCCTTAGTTGCATACTGCATCAAGAGATCTCAGTCCCCTCTGCTTTGATATTTTGACCCTTAGGTACCCACCCGGACTATGTGCTGAGAACCGTCTATGCAGAGAAGTGTGCCTGGGCTTAATTTTGAATTTGACACGCGTGATGCATATATATATATATATAGACTAGTTGTTTGCCAATATAGTTTCATTCGAGCATTGCCTCCCATGGATTTTGAGGTCAGGAATCCTACAAGAGGGGCATCATCAACAAGCAGCGATACAGCATGGTGCGACTGGCAATGGCCATGATGGAACCTTTTTTCAATTACTTCATGGACACCATTTCAACTTTGAAGCATTCAATCACTTGACTCAATGTAGTATATGCACTGTCCCTGCATGCATGGGCTTCAATTGGACCTCAAAAACTATTCAGATACATATAGTATCCCGTCTTTTGGGCCCAACTGAGGAAGCGCACAGCCTCCGACTGGAGAATGACATCTTGCAGCTCCTGGAACGACAGGAACACATCAAGGACTTGATCGCTAAGTTGAAGACAGAGAATGAAGCTTGTGTCCATGCCCGGGAAGTTACAGAACAGCCTGAAACCAGCGATCATGGCATGGCTGATTGAGAATGCTTTTAGGTATCTTCACACATGCTTTCAACCAAGAATCTATTGTATTATTTGTTGAACAGAATGTTTGAACCAACCAACGCATATGATGGAAATCAGCCAGCGGCCCAGGTCCCTAGTTTTGTTCAATTCCAAAATCAATCTTGAAACTCTTTCAAAGAGAAAAAAGGTGCCAGTGCATGCATTATGATTGCTGATCTTGGAATGTGGGTTTTTGCATTTAGATAGAGTTTATCAATTTCTTTTCTCAGACTCTTCAATTCTTCAATGTCGGGATTCTGTTTGCAGGTGCTCGTGCTCAATTTAATTGTGAACTTCGACATCGATCTGACCATCGTCGCTGGTTGAGGCCGGCTTGGATATATGGCTTAAGCAATATTCTAAAGTCCCATGAATATATATATATATATGTATATAAAGGTAATTACTCACCATCGCCACAATTTATTTGTCCAATGTGGCATGGAAAATTCACTTGAAGTTTCCACTTGGAGCTTGGCTTTCATAAATATATACATATGATATATATATATATGCCTGGAAACTGCAAGGTATAAACCTATGTCTGGAGATATCTTCGTGTGAAACTGGCCCGGCCCTCATGCATTCGAACCAGACGTACAATATGTGCATTTCTTGGGTCCCTTTAGTTTGCGATGTCGTTGATTGGTTTTATCTGAGGCATGAGGCTATGGCAGATCAGGCAATCAGGTGCCACCCCCTGCCCTTGCTTGCAGTGACCTGCCTTGAATCTAGCGCCACGGTTGCAAGTGCAAGATGCATTGTCCGCAGCCTTGGGTCGGTATACAGTACAGGCACCGGGCACAAGGCACAAGGTATCATATATCGCCTATATTTTCTATCTATATCGCAATACATAATCATATATATATAACCTTATTTATGGTATATGTCCTAGACATAGATACATACATATATATATATATATGATCTACATATCATTCATTAGGTATATGTATATGCACGTATATGCAGCCATGTTTAAATCCCCAAGGAAACATCGTATGGATTTTGCTCTGAATTCCCCAAGGTTTCCAGACTAATTGGACCCTGATATCGCTGATATACTCTTTTTAGAAATGCCATCGCCGCCATGTACGCTATGTGTGCCAGAGTACATACAAGAGCTGGACAAGTTTCCATCTCTACGACAAAATGGTTTTAGCTTCTTGGTTGACGCTTCCAGCAAGCTCTTCACATCTGTCAGACCAAGTTTGAAAGACGTGGAGACCAACATAGAGGCAGGAAGATTCTGCGCACCTGCATGCCTTCATGTTTCTTTGCATTCTTTCATCTTAATTCTGTCTTCATGGCCGCTGGAGGCAGTGGAGGGCATCATGAGGGCCACGCGTGGCCGTGGAAGGTTCAGCTCCCACCTGCTCAAGATCGTCATCATCCAGTACTACGAAAAGCACAAGCTGCTGCCCAAGGGCATGGTTAGCAGCATGGACTGTGTGCAGACTTGGGCCCTTAAAATGGGCTTGGCGCTTCAAAGGCTAGCTTCTTGGCAGCAGTCTATACATTATGTGCATGAGTCGCTTTCGTCTTGCAGAGCATTCATATTGCATCTTAGCCTTTCAAAAACAATCCTGTTACCATCTTAGGTCAGCAGGTTTCGGAGACTTGCGCAGCGATCGAAAGGCGCACAGCAGCCTAAGACTAGGGCGCTCAAGGACGCATTGCGTGGCATTTGTGAATCATGGCTGCATATATTATCATATACATAAAATTCCATCCTATGAATCATAATATATATCTGATATATATATATATATTTAAATCAGTACATATATATTATATATACACAGACTGACCCTCAGAACCCTGAATATTGATCCATATATTAACCATGTTGCAAATTAGTGATAGCTCTTCTTGGGAACCCCACGGAATTGAAAGACGACTCGATCTGATCCGATAAGATGGTCATGTGGTTCCCTCATTTGCACCAGTTTTTGAAACAAAGGATTTGTTTGCGATGGGTGTGAAAACAGTACGTGTACATATGCGCACGCATGGAAGTCTGTGAAACTGATCCGAAAACCACATGATCTAATTTTGCTCCCTGCGATTTGGTGACGTCTGAGGACTTTTCACTCCTGCATGAGGATGACGTGGATGGCGAGTCGGGTGATGAACGTGAAATGAAAGCGGTTGACACCTTGTCCGAGCTGGGTTCCCAAAGCTCGTCCTCGAAAAGACTGGTGACACCTCAGTGCAAAAGGGACAAGTTGCTGCAAAATCGAAGCTTGCAGGTTGAGGCATGGGACAATGTCCAAACTCCTAGTCCGCCTTCAAAACCACGCGCTGATCACATCATGGCATTGGCAGAGGCATTGAAAAATGCAAGACATGGTGCCTCCTATGAGAAGCCTGTTGAGACCAAGGGTCAACTCCCTGACCATGTGCCTAGGCCATAAATTGTCCCATGCCACTTTGAAAATCAGCTTCCCATCAAATCTGTATATATGTGGTTTTTGCGGGTACAGTATACAGTTGTTATAAACATGTTTATACATGAAAGATTCAGATATTGGAGATGTCCCTGTGCACAGCATTACAAATATACCGCGACAAACTTCTGAGGTCTTGAAAGTCTTGGAAGAGAAATGTATGATGACTGCTCCAGCCCCGTTTCCGCAGTCCGCCCAATACAAGAAAGCTGATGAAGCTGATGTGGACAACCAAGATGAGCCAGGAACTGAGAAGCCGCGCCAGAAACGAAAGAAGAAGTCGAAGAACAAACGCCGAGCTCCTGCCCAGGTGGCCAAGGCTTCCAAAGGAGACCCAAAGGCCGAGCCAGCCGTTGTTGTGCCAGATGAGTTCAAACCGGCCACACCTGATGAGACATACACCCCAGCGCGCTATTCAGAGCTACGGAAACATTTTGTTTCTGAAAAGATGGCAACTGGGATGTCCTGGAAAGATGCACAGGCTGAGTGGAACAGGGGCAACCTGAAACGACAACTTTTATCTAGTTTGGATTTGCCTGAGTTGAAGAAGAGGCGATTTGTCTCCAAAGATTGCACTACTAACCCATGGGCATCCTAGAACTGCAAATATCAAACCCCAGAATGATTAAGTTCCTTCAAATGTCATTGAAACTACACATTCAGCTAATTGAGAGGGATATAGATAGATAGATAGATAGATAAGGAACGACTGACAGACAAACAAACAGCTAGATAGAGAGAGAGATATATATATATATATTGGATACGGGCTAACCCAACTTGATGTGATTCAGTTCAAGCGCATGGGTGGTTAGTGCACTCACTAGAAATTCAATATCGAATTATGGCGAAGCATATTTTTCACACATCACGCAGACCTAAATTTTGGTCTCATGCATGGAAATGTGTGCATGTGCTATTTGCACTTCGTGCACCTGCATCGGTGGAAAAAAGTAATGTGGGAGGGGGCCGTGGCTGCTTTCATGTCTATACAGCATGGATCAGGGATGTGCATCAAATCAGCTCTCCATTCAATGGCAAGACAATCGTACCAAAAGTCCTGCAGCGATAATTTTTTTTGACCGTCTATATATACTAGTCAATTGCAGCCTGGATCGAAAGCCCTAGCTGGTGCGCTGATAGCAGCCTTGCTTTTGGGTGCCATATGGTGGTCGCATCGCTTCTGAAATGGCAGTCGCCAGCGGCGCTGATTTTGCTGGTGGTGATGCTGGGACAAAGCCCTTGTGTTGTCCAGCCACCGGCCTTGCAGAATGACTTTGTGGAAGTCTTCGCAGGTGATGCTGCGGTGACACTGGCTTGCTGGAACATGGGGCTGGTCGGTAGCTGTCATGACGTACGTTACACCAGTCTCATGGACATGAGTACCACTCACGGGTTCCTGTTGCTTAATTGCAAAGTTGTTTTCAATGCACAGTTGTGGAATAATCGGGCAACTTGATCAGTGCTGTTTTCCATTTTAGAATATGTGCTCATATATATAGCGTCTTAGGCTGGTCTGCAGGGAGATCTGGAACACGAAGCCTGGCGGCCTATGTCTCTTTGGGATTTGCTGCAACAGCTTTACCAAGATGTGCCTTGGCTGAGTTGCATGGTATCTACACCTAGCGCCGAGCGCTGTGATTTTGTTGATTACAGTGACCATTGTATCAACTTGTTTTTTTTGGCAACGCTGGCAGTTGCTTCAGGTCATGCCATACTGCTGGCCGAGATGTGTTCAATTCCTTCCTCGGTAACCAGGGGTACAAATTTGTGGCTCTTGGGAACTTATTCTGTTCCAGGCTGGCTTTGGCCCTCATCTTATGCTTCGCCAGAGGCATAAGGTTCGTAGTGGAGCAGCCGGAAGGGAGCTCTTTGCCTATGCACCCGAGATTTCAACAGGTGTTGGCAATTGGACGTGCACCTTGGCTCAACTATGTATACTGCATTCTGGCCGATATATCAGTGCATGGTGGTGCTCTGTTGCTGTTGCATTGTTGAATGAATTCCTAGGTGTTCTCTGGTTCTTTTTGGATGGGTGCCTTCAATGGAAACACCGCCAAACGGCATAGACTTTGGTCCAACTGTCGAGAGTTGCTGGAAGAAGTGGTGAAGCAAGGCGCGGGAATGACCTACACTTTGTTGGGTTTCTGCATGTTTGCATTTGCTGGCGTCATTATATAATATATATATATATATACATATATATATATATATGTAGGTCTATATATATACACCTGCATTTCTCATTGGTCTGGCCAGGTGGACAGCTAAGTCGTGAGGCCCTACGGTCGCTACCGGGCTCGTCTCAGGGGCTGGTTAGGAAATACATCGACAAAGGTGGAAAGCGCCGCCATGTGGGAGTGGCATCCAGGCTGAAGAGGAGCCAGTGCCTTATCTCAATTTAAGTTGTATATAGTGCATTTCATGATGGAAACCCAGTGCAACTGTGTGGCTTAAGATTTCAATCCTTTTAGATCTTAATTATCAATGCTCAGGTCCTACACGCCTGAGTTTGGACAATGCATCGCTTCAGTGGCTGTGACGCCCCGTCAGGCGGGCTTCGATGGGGATGGGTTTTACTTGGTTGTCAAACTTGGCCATTGTTTGATTCTTGGAAGGTACCTTTGCCTGGACCTCGCATGGAAGTCAACATTGACTGGACATGCAGTGATGCAGAGCTCTTCGCCAAAGTTTTTTCTCCCATGGGGAACGTCACCATTGAATGCCTTGGTGACTTGTGGCATGATGCAGCTTGGCATTAATTTACATGGGTCCGATATATGCAGTGCACGGCAAACTGTTTCGAGCTTCCCTTTGGTAAACACTCTATTTATATATATATATATACATCCAAAATCCCATAATATAATATATCTTTTATTTCCTATATATGACTGTGACTGCCTCATGCCCCGTCCTTCGAGGCAGAACTTCCTGCAGCGCTTCGCTACCTGGCTGGTGGCCGTCACTTCCAGCCAACGGGGCAATGGGTCTGTTCCCCAGGGTTTCTTATGTCTGATTGCATCGCCAGCCAAAAATCAAAATGTCAGCGCATGTGAAAATCAAGAGTTGAGGCCGAAATCTTTCAGCAGCTCAACCTCAAGCGTGGCATGAAGCCCTATGTGAAGTAATCCAAAATGGATTTGTGCAAGATTGAAATTAAGGGCAGTGTGCAAAACTCCACATTGCAACCATGTCGGAGAACTTAGGCTGGACTTTTCAGCGAAATCGTTACCGTGAAAAAACGTGAATTGAGCGTGAAAAAGTAGGTGATGACCGTGAAAACTCCGTGAAAAACGTGAAAAAAAAAATCTGAAATTCCCATTACATTTGAGCTATATCTGGAATTTCTGATTTTGTTTTTCACGAAATTCACGGGCTTTGAATGCAAGATCCACCCTGCCATGATTCATGATTGTATCCATGGGTCCTATATATCATACATAAATCGTGCAGGCACATTTTTGGTGCACAGCTCTGGGTGGATAGTAGATCTGGGTGGTAGTCGCTATGGCTGCTTCCTTGAGCAACTTGCCCTTTCCCATTGATGAGCTGGCCTGGGACAAGTTGCACGTTGTGGCCAAGCACCTGAAGGTCAACAGGGCGGAGGCATTCACAATCATGCACCATGTCCTTGGGCCACCTCCTACTCCGTTGCCAGCCGCTTTGTTGCATAATGAGAATTCCATGATGTGCCAAAATTGGTAAGTTTATACTGATATATACCTGATAGCCTTTAAACGATCTGATATTATACCGTATGTTTGCTGTCGAAATTCACCATTATCAACTGAGATCAGAATTGTGCGATTGCTTTAAAGATATCGCCATTAAGGGGATATAGTTATATAATATGTTAATATATTATAGCATATATATATATGACCCGGTACCACGGCCTCGCTACCTATCGTGCCTCTGTCTTGAGGACATGGAGAATGAGACGAAGCCTAAGCGCAAGAAGAAGGATATCAATTCTGCCGAATCTCCAACGCCCAAGTCGCAGCCCTCGCAGCCCTCCAAGCCCATCAAAGCCAAAGCGACAGCAGCCAAGTCAAAGCCGAAAGGCAAAGCAAAAGCCAAGAGCGGTGCATCGGCATGCCAGCCCAAGAAGGTCAAGAAGGTGCATGGGAAAAAGGCGAAAACGCAGAAGCAGGAGTCTCAGAATGCGTCCAAGTCAAAGAATGTCGACAAGAAGGAGATGACAAAAGCTGAAAAGAAACGAAAGGTCGATGCCAAGAAGAACAAGTCAGTACCTCCTGAGGAGGCCGAAGATGTTGAGACCCCCGCCACAGAGTACTATGCATTATATGGCCCTGAACATGCAGAAGATGGCCCTGAACATGCAGAAGATGTGACCCGGAAGCGCAAGCCGCCAGTGCAGGTGCCGTTGGACGCAATTGCTGGGGATGGTTTGGTGACGCCTTCCCGTCGACGCGCAGTGGGCAAGCCCAGTGATCAAGGCGCGACCCAACCAGCACCAACCAGCCCCAAAGCTCCCAGTGCTCATGATTCTCAAGATACTGTATGGCCATTTGGCTGCAATAAATGTAAATTGCTGCAACACATGTCACATGTGCAGTATATATCATATTATATCATAATATATACCTGTTTAAAAGGTTGAACCATGAAATGAAATGCTCCGAGCCGAGCCCCATTGCATATATTGTAGAGTACATCATAGAATCACTTTTCGACTTCTTCAGCCGTGTTGTCGCTTCCCGAGGTCATGTGATACTTTGAAGCGCGCAATTGACTTTGTCAACAACCAGGGGCCCCATGACAAGCTGGGCGAGCAGACCAAGGAGTTGGATTCCATCTCGACTGCGAGCACGATTGTGAGCCTTGGAAGCACATATGAACGGGTTTGTTGAAATGGCCAGCTAGCTATCATGTGAATATGTGTAATTACAGTTATTGATATGAAACTTTACTTTCTGGCGTCTATATTTTTTTAGATTTCTCACAGAATTGGTATGTGCTGATGTTTTCTCATATATTGTATATTGACGATTAAGTTTAACAAACGATGTTTCTACATTTTTCTTTGGGCCCTTGTACATAAAAAATCCACATTTACTTGCAAAATGCCCTTGAGGCTTGGTGAGAGCCAGCCTGGAGATCTACAAAATCAATTGTCGGCAGCGCTTGCATACATCAAGCAGTTGGAGTCCTGTCAGGTCGCTGCTGGTGCCCCTGCCGAGCCTTCTAAGCTCCAACGGGCAACTCCTTTGGAGGTGCTTGGAAATACATTCATCATCTATTTATAGATATATATATATATAAATAAATGTGTGGGTATTTGTATATATTTATGCTGTTATAGTTACTGATATTTATAGAATTATATGTGTGTTTAGCCTAAATATATTTTTTCTTGGCACATCAGCTGTCAAATTCCCACTAAGGAAGATGGCCCTTCGAATGTCACGTTGCCAGACACGATCCCTGGAGACATTTCGGCTGCGCCCTCCCCTGCTCTTCCTGAAACTGTGCCTGATGTGCCCATGCAAGAGGAGGAGCCAGACCGCCAGAGTGATCATGAGATGGATTTGGATCAACCAGCCACACTTTGCGACGAAGATGAGAGGATGGCTGACAATGACGTGACTTCTGCAGTGAACGAGAAGAGCTTGGAGAAGGAAGACAGCTTGGCTTCCACGGCCAGTTTGGGGGAGTCGTGGGAGCGAGAGTTCTACGACTACAAGGAGGAGAATGGGAAATGGGTAAAGTATATCAAAGACAAGTATGTGGCCCTTGCCAAAGCCAGAAACTGGAGCCTTGGGCCAATTGATATCACCGCTGAAGCTGCGCCTCCCATGGAGAAGCCTGGTGTGCTCTCCATCAAGGCTGGCCAGACTTCTGACCAACAGCCTGATGCTGCAGTTCCAACCTCTGCTGAGCCAATGGCCCTTGTCCAACAGCCTCCTGCTGCAGCCCCGACCTCTGAGCCAAAGATTCCTGTCCAACAGCCCAATGCTGCAGCCCCGACCTCCTCTGAGCCAGAGATTCCTGTCCAACAGCCCAAAGCTGCAGCTCCGACCAATGAGCCAAAGATCCCTGTCCAACAGCCGGATGCTTCAGCCGTTGAAAAGGAGAAGCCGGACAGGCCAGTTCTTCAGGAAGCGGCTGGCCCACCAGACCGCACACTTGAGCTAGCTGGTTTGCAAGCCTTGATGAAAGGTCAGGTGGAACGAGAACAAGCTGCAGCCCTGGCCGAGGCCACGAGAGTTGAAGGACTTCTGAACCCTGGTCCTAGAGCTGTCGCCGAAACAGCAGGACCTGATCGTGTCGATTGGGTGACGCACAAGAAGGAGGGCATGCGATTAAAAAGGCTTCTGGAGGAGTCGGCTGATGGAGCCAAGTCCTTTCCGCACATGGCCAAGATGTGGGCTGGCTCAAAGGAGGACATGGGTTTCAAACATGTTGATTGTGAAATTTGATGAAAATGGTGAAAACTGCATTGCCTTAATGTTGCCTTTTGTTGCATGCCAACCTTCAGGACAGAAAGCAGCTCTTGCGCGAGTGGGTTCAGAAGAATGGCGATGCGGCAGCAATCGAGGCCAACATCGTGATTTCGAAGACATCGAGCTCAAAGCTGGGCACGCAGAAGGAACTGCTGACCGTCGCTGAGATGGTTTCACGTGGGTTTCCACGTGAAAAAATTCAGCCATAGTGGCAAAGGGTGGCATCCCAGATGCTGACTGCCCTCACCTTCCGAGCCTCTACAAGTACTGGGTCCAAACCAGCTGCGTGTTGAAGGATGTGGAAGAAGTGAAACAAGAGTCCAAGGTGAACATTCAGTGCCAACCGAGTGCCGGTGCTTTGGATGCTATGATGAGTGGCCCAAAGGGCCCGAAACAGCGATGTGCCTTGCCTTCAGGCAGCTTGGAGCAAATGATGCAGTCAGTGCAGGCACCAGCTGCAGGACTGCATGTTTGCATTTTTCAAAATTGAACAAACCCATCAGAAGAATCTCCAATCCTCTGTACACATGGATGTATATATATATGCAATATATATTTCATGTGTATGTGTATTGCTATATTGTGTTGTTGTTCAAATTTTAAATACCCACACGTGGTACACACATAAATATATATGATTATTTGTTTAAGTATACATCTAACTCTATATATATGTATATATATATAAATAAATATGTACATGTTTATATATATATATATTTGTCCATCCATCCACCCATCCATGCATCCATCCGTTCCATATATCATGCATCCCCCATTCTGTGCAGGAACCACCACTGCAGATGCTTCCACCGCACCGACCACGGCGGAGCCCAAAGCTAAGTCGAAGGCCAAAGCGAAGGCCAAGGCAAAATCTGGCGCCAATGGACGGGTGGGCGAAGTGGTTGCCAAGACCATGGATGAGATGAAGTCTGAGATGTGTGCCTTAGCTTTCAAAATACTTTTGTTGCTGCCCATTTGCTTGGTTGTAGATTTGGATTTCACACCCGTCACAACCTGCCTGGATTGTGAGGCAATTCCTTAAAGAAGGAAATGAACGCCGTCAGCAACATCAGCTTGGAGTTGCCTCAGAACAATGGACTGCGAAAGATCCTTGGCGACTTCAAGACCCGATTCGAAGAAGCCATCGATGAGTTACTCATCTCAAAATAACATTATCATGTCACCTTTGAACACTCTTTGGTCATATTTGGTGATGCTGGTTCTGCCCATGACTTTGGTTTTGCAATGCATTGCAAGGCTGAAGACAATCGACACGGAGGCCAACTTGCTTGATCTCAAGAATGAACTTGATGCTGAGGCCAGCTTATGAGATTTATGGATTTATTGCTTGCGCACTCCAAGTCTCAATATGTCTCAATCTCATCGGATCCATGCATGCCATTATCATTAAACTATTTATCTACATTTTTAGTGGTTGTTAAAATCCGATATATCTCATTTTTAAATATATGCACTTGATTCCAAAGATGTTCTTTGTGTGTTTATGCAGCCCCACCGGCTCAGGTGAAGAACATGCGTATGGTAAAGGCTCAGGCACGTGCAGTGATCACAGAGATCAAGAAGCAAGCGGCCTAGCTAGGTGAGTGCGCCGTGTGCCCATATGTCACTGGAGATGGCACTCCGGACCCCAATTTTCTTGGGGCAGTTTTTCAATGGGGTTGCGTTGCGCCTAGAACCTTGCCATGGATCCCAGTAACTATTATATATTTTAATATTCAACACATTTCAACACTATCTTCCAATATCACTGCAGTCATTCTCCAAATAATTTTCTTGTGCATGGGACACATGGCAGGGAACGCGCAATTGAAACGCGCACGTGTCGTGCGCACAATCTTGCTGGGATGTCTAACCGATTGATATGATTCAAATTCAATCCAATCTTGAAACCATGGCTGTGTGGGATTTACCTACGCCATCGATGTGTGTGTGGAGAAAATAGGGTGCTCTCGCGTGTGAATGTTCCAACCGACTGCATGCATGCAATTGCCAATCATGGCATGCTGATTCTTGGGCCCGCTCCATCGCAGGTGCTGAATCTGAAGGATCCTGGCGAGATCGAATTTCCACAGTTGAATCTGTGTTCTTTGGCCGGCATATATTTGTGTGACATGTGAACGATCAGTTAAAATATGTTAAAATCTCGATTTGATATATCTCACATGTTTGTCACTGCCTTCAATTGAAACCTTTCAAATCTGACTTAGGCTGGCCTCCGGAATTGGCACTGGAAATGCAACTGTTCAACATGCACGCGAAATAGGTGATGCAATAGGAAGTGCTGCTTGTTTGCAGATACATGTATGTACATATGAGCAATTATGGCAATATATTAAGTTATTGTGCCTGCGTTGCTTCTTGATTTTGTGGCATGCATTAATCGTCGAATCCCTGAGGCTGTCTTCAATCAGTTCCGTGGCTGCACTATTCTGCATTGCTTTATATATTGCATTATGGCAGGCAAGAACCCAAATTGTCCCGGTCCTGCATCAGGACAAGGGAAACCAATGAGAGCCGCATCCACAACCGAGCGATGCGGAGTGGGATCGGCCTGGATTGCAACGTGGCGTATCGCGAAATTCCTATTTGCAGTGGGTATGACGACGAGGGGAATTGGTGGAGTGGCCGTTTGTCCTTCCCCATCAATTGGTTACTGGACAGTTCTTTACAATGTATTTTTGCATCAATTTCCACATAAATGGTTTTTCTAGATATGTGGTAGTGATCTCAATTGAACTCACTAGCCCTGATATTTCCCAAAAGAAATCAGGTAGCAGCAATGATTCAGAACGGCTTCCTGAACGTGCTGGTGCAATTGGACAAGATGGTCGACTACTGGCATCACATGTTGAAGGAGTTTCCTGACCATCCAGCTGCTTCTATGGTTTCTGCATCTGCACCCCTGAGCTTATATGGTGCCTTGGTGTCTGTTTTTCTTATGATTTTTTGAAATTTGGAGACCAATATATCTGTATATAAATAATTATATATATATATCTGTATATATATAATTATATATACATATATATATATAGCATGACAGGTTTTCAATTTCCAAGTCATGTGACTATATATGCAGGTGACGAAGGGCAAGCTCTTGGAGGATCATATATGGCCTTTCATTTTCAATCTGATCTATCTCCATGCCTCAAAAATGCTGGAGTTAGTCGCTTTTTGATCACCACCATCCCATCGAGTTACTATGCATCTCGGTGAAATATATGGGTCCAATCTTTTTTGTGAAGTTGTTGCAAACGTTTGGATGAATGCTTCTTGAAACTGGGAAAACTCAGGTCTTTGCTGGAAAAGTCAATCTGACACTGCAATCTGCTGCAAAAATCATTTGTGGATCGCTGAACGAGCTGTCACGCAATGGTGTGGCAATCCCTGGTGATGTATCGGCACCCTGGCTTCAAGATATTATATATATACACTTTTTGTCTGACCTGCACATCAGTGTTTGCGAAGCATCGCCCTTTGAATTTTCAAATATTTTTCATTACTTCACAGTTGACAACATTGATATGATACTTCAGGACCATGCTGTGAAACTTCGATTCTACGTGATGAACTTTAAGGGTGATTGGAAGTACCTGGTGCAGCTGTTCAACTTCCGAAAGAACCCATCAACGGAGAAGGCCCGACCCACGCAGCTCTAGGGCCCGGACATGGCTCTGGACCCATGGTCTCCATGGCCAGGACATATGTATGTGTTATGTATCTGACTCTATATATAAAATGTATGTGTGTGTGGCTTTTGGAATCAGAAGGATCAATATCAATATCTACAGACCCTAAGCTGTCCACGAAAAATTGTGAAAAAACATGCATAATTTTGGAATCATTGATAAATTGTGTATTTATACCAAAAAACATGTGGGTAGAAAACATCGATGTTGGTTGAGCCCCATATGCGCATGCCTGGATGTATTTTTCAAACGCTCTGCAGGTATGTTGGAAGTGCGAAGCGACGAAAGGGAATACGGATATGACCAATGCCTACACTGACGTGGCGGAACATGCGCCATGGAAGGCTACCCTGTGGACATCTTTGCCATGGCCTATATCCGAAGTTCCCGAGCTGACTAAGGTGACTGGCTTTGATGTCAAGATGATATCAGCAGACTTGTTGCATACCTGGCATTTAGGGTGTGGCCGCGATTTGGCAGGCAGCTGCATCAAAGTGCTGGTGGGTCTACGTTATTTCCATGGAAGATCAATTGAGCGAAGCTTGGCGCAGGCCACGGTTCAGCTGAAGAGATTTGCAAAACTGCACAAACACAGTCTTGTGCTTCGCAAGCTGACGAAAGCGAACTTGAACTGGTCCGACTACCCAGAGCTGAGGTGCAAGGGCTTTGACACATTCGTGGTTTTGGCGTGGCTGCAACATGAGTTCAGTGCCCGTCCTCCCACAGCAGATGACCCCGAGCTACAATCGAAGTTAGATCTGATGACTACAGCGGTATGGTGCATGGATTCTTTGATGCGAATGTTGGCACACAGTGGCATGCACCTGTCAGAGATGCAACAGCGACAAAAGACCATTCTGGGCAGTATATACATGAACTGTTACATGACGCTGGCTCAGAAGGCAATCGAAGATGGAAAGAAACTATGGCGTGTTCGCCCGAAAATTCACATCCTACATCATTGCATACTGGAAGACCGCGAGTCGAGGTTAAACCCCCACTATAGTGCTACATGGATGGATGAGGACTTTGTGAAAAGGACCATGCGTGTGAAGAAAAGGACACATAAGCGTACTGCCACCAGTGCGACGCTGTGTCGGTGGCTCATGGGCCTTCCAAAACAGATGCAATTGTCCCTTGACCAGCTCTGATGAAAAATGCAATATGCCTCATGGTGGGATCGGGTCCGGTGCACACACAGTATACTATCTTTGATTCTATGACATCCTTAAGGGAACTTCGGCATATATATATATACTATATATATATATATACACGCGCACGCACACACACATATGTATATATGTACCCCATGAATCTAGAAATATTTTGTACATGAATAATAATAATAATATATATATATATATATATTCATATATAGAATATGAGCATGGCAGATGCCACAGTGTCCTTCCGTGGATTTTACGACGTAAATTATCCCAACTCATGCACAGCCATAGGGGGACGCCAGGGTTTCCAGGGTTGCTGATTTTAGTGGGTTCCAATGGTCTCCAAAAATATCCATTGCCAGCTCCGGGTGTTTTTGGGTGATTTATCACCATGGTATGGTTGTAAATACTTACCTACCCCTATATAATCAAAAAATAGACCTATTAATAAGGAATTTTGGATGGTATGTATTATATACAATATCTGGGTTTCAGGGGTATAGTGAGATGTCAGGAGTATTGCCATGGATATATATATATATATAGGCCAGCCCCTATATATTATACTTATTCATTTTTTCTGGATGTTATATAGGAACCCCATGATAGTAAATATGTCATGGTAGT